ACCTCCACCATTGCAAGCATCTTTGTATATCCTTGTAGAACTTCATTCTACCTTGTATCACCAATTGAGACACATTGACATCTACATCACTTTTTGCCACACTTCATATAGCATTTAATAGCTCCTATATATATGCAGCATAAAGGTGAAGGTCCTTATCAAATACCATCAATTGCTACATGTTAATATGCACTACATCCCTACACTTCTTGCATACTTCATGGAGCATAGAGTTGCATCTTTGTTGTAAAGAAGAATATTAGTATCCCAATTATATAAACTTATATGAAGAAGCTTTTAGTTCTAGGAAAGAAAAGGTAATCTGTACTTTGTTGAAATCTTCTTCTCAAAGCTTTTGCACCCTTAGAGCATATGCATACCAACTTCACCCACCCTCATGTTTATCAAAGTATTCATGTAAAATAAATTGGATTTAGCCCGATGCAACTTCTATTGGCTATCTTGTCAGTCCTAAAGTTTTTCATATCATCATGTTGTTGATAAACCTTTAGTACATAAGTAAAGCTAAGGGAAAGTGAGGCTCTTCCTCTGAACATAGACATGAAGCTCATGTACTTAAAAGGCAAACATGTGCATGTAGAAAATGCTTTAATATAAAAAACATGTATTCCATGCTCACTTAACATGTTTCTAATGGGTATTCTGACTCATGTATTATATCCAATAGTGGTTGCAAAGCTTGCATGGCCTTGTCATGCTAGTGGTTGTATCAAGCTTTCTTCTTATGCTCTACCACTTCAAGTAGTTCCTATGGAGTGGGATAGAGTAATTAAAATATTTCTAAAGTACAAATTTAGTTTCTTAATTTAAGTTTCTCTCAATAGATATAAATCAAAAGAAGATCTTGAAAAAATAAGTAAAATATAATTAATTGTTTAATTATAGAATGATATTATTTTGTGTCCATCATACTCCATTGAGAAAATAAATAATATTGGATGTTGATGATGCAATTGTGGTTTATGCTGATGCCCTTCACCAAGTATAAAAATATTATACATCATGCATTGGAGTGAATATGTGATAATTTATACAATGACTTCCAACACAATGACTAACATTATGCACTTATTCAAGCAAATTTAACACAGTGATAAATACAACAAAGAAAGGAGACCAAAGTTATATAAACTTTTCTTGATAATGTGAAAATTTATATGGTCAACACCAAATTAAGTTTAGCATCATCTCAAAATCAAAATATTAGCACTAAAAATTTCAAATCATTATTGTTTTTATCTTTTACATTTTAAAGTGCACTTGTCACAATATAGTGAAGTCCAAATGACAACCAGACATTATGAATTAGATTTGAAGATTTTGTGAAAATGGTAAAACTTATTTAAAAAAATAATATCCAATCTAGTGTCATTATTGAATTTAAAATGGTTTTTATTTTTATATAAAATATTTGAATTAAATTTTTTGTTTTAAAAAATTTGTAACACTAGTTATCTGATGTTAATTTATAAGAATAACTTAATTTATAAAGAAAGTTTGTAAGAAAAAAAATTTACACTATTATGCTGCTTTGTGTTCTTCCAATCATTGTGAAATTGTGTTGTAAAACTCACTTGATTGCAACATTATTTAATATTGCTATTGAGATGTACTAAAGCCCATAACACTAAAGGGTTTTCGACTGTGCTGGAAATAGAATTGTTGGACTTGCAAAGGAATTCTTGCTCAAGCTAAGGCCTGCTTTAGCCTCACATCTACAGCTTGCCATGAAACTTTCATTTCTCAAGAACGATGGTGCTTAGGTTAGGTGGTGCTTCAAAAAACACTCATTTGACTATATGCAGTGAGACTGGATGGTTCTAGTTTTCCAAAGACATGTCTAAAGAGTATAACACCAAGCTCAACCTATGTTGTGGACATGTCCTAGAAGTACTCGCAGTTTACATGAAAAACTACTTTGTTTTTCAATGGCTCACTTTCACATGTCCAATGATTCTTTGTTAAAACATATATAATTGTTTTAGACAAAGAATCCTGTCTTAGTTGTATTGAAAGCATTCTTTCCCTGTGGCTGCCACTCTGTGTCTGCCACTCCTACTCATCACTGTCAAAAACTTTGCACTGTTGCAAGTGGTGGTGATTGTCATCACTGTCCAAGAGGATGATTGTCTTCTTGGTGATCTCATCACACTTTCAACCCTGTTGCTATGCTCCACCATGTTGTTGAGGCCCAGTATGTAGCTCCACCCCAACGATTCGTGTCACCTGAGTGACACCCCACAGGTGAGAGAAGCCATTGATGGATGTCGATTCCTGTTGGTAAATGCAGTGTTAACGGTGGTGGTACATCTATTTTCCATCTCTTTTCAATTCAGAGTGGATCACTGATTTTGTAAGGGTAGTTTCTATTGTGCAATGGCTGGTGAAGCGTTACCCAAATTAGAATGTGATCCACTGTTATTCCATAATGCTGATTCATGGCTTGGATTTAAAATAATCTAAAATATGCTTTTTCAATCCAATGGCAAAATAAAGCATATCCATATCAATATTTATAAACTATTTAAAACTCTAGTTTGAATTTGACGTACTTGGCAATGTCTTTCAAATCATGGAAGAGTGAGTAACCACACACAAACCGTGTAACGCTAGAAATTCCAAATAACTTCTTAGGGATATCCATTTAACTGCACTCGCCCACCTGCCCCACATTTTACCCTTAGTTCAGCAAATGGATGGGAGATGGATCTTGAGCACTTGCATCGTCCTCTTCACCACAGCGCTATGGCGATTCGTGACGGTCTACTGGTGGCGCCCCAGGGCGACCGCGGCGCAGCTGAAGAAGGAGGGCATTCAGGGGCCTCCACCCCGACTCATGGTAGGCCAAATAGCTGAAATCCAGAACATGAGGAGCGCCATCAAGGATCACGACATGGAAAGTTTCAGCCACGACATCTTCCATCGGGTATATCCTGCGTTGCTCAAATGGCGGAAGCAATATGGTATGTTCTTGTCATCCCTGATGAATCTCAAAGCTTTGTTTCTGATGATCATGGTCCAGGGAAGAGATTTGTGTTCTGGTTGGGAACTGAACCAAGGATATCGGTCTCGGAGCCTGAGATCGTAAGGGAGGTTTTGTCTAAGAAGTTTTCTCAGTTTGATAAATCGGAGGCCGGGCTGCGGTTCGCGAACTTGTTCCTTGGTCGTGGATTGGTTTCTGTTACTGGAGAGGAATGGAGTCATCACCGCCGACTCGTAGCACCGGCATTCTTTCATGAACGTATTAAAGTGGGTATTCATATTATTATCTTCTCATGAAGTCTGGCTGATAAGTGTTTCTGATTCTCCTGTACACAGCAAATGACCGGTTCAATCGCAGGGTGCGCATCTCGCATGCTTGATCAATGGGAAGCTACGAGGCAGCAGAATCCCGAGATTGAAATCTCTGGAGAGGTGCGTAAGCTCACAGGAGACGTTATTTCCCATACAGCATTTGGAACTAGCTATCTCAAAGGGCAGAGGGTTTTCGAGATATTGTCTAAGAAAATCCCAGAGCTAGTGCCCAAACTCTTCAGCTTTTCCTGGATTCCAGGCTTCAGGTATGCTCGATCATCTATTGAACTGAATCATAATCACTTGCTTACAGGTTTCTCCCACTTCCAATCAACCTCCGACTGTGGAAGCTTCATCAGGAGTTGGATTCTTTGATCACTGGGATCATAGACGAGCGTCGGAACTCAGTGAAGTCAGGGAGGAGTAATACATACGGGAATGACTTACTCGGACTGATGCTGAAGGAGTGTGACAGCAGCAGTAATTTCACAAGCAGGGATCTGATAGAGGAATGCAAGACGTTCTACCTTGCGGGCCATGAGACCACAGCCATCTTACTAACCTGGACTTTGATGCTACTGGGAGGCTATCCTGAATGGCAAGAACGCGCCCGTGCTGAGGTGCACGAAGTATGTGGCAATGAGATTCCTGATGGTGAGAGTGTCAGCAGGCTCAAGCTCGTAAGTCGATCAATATCTCCTAATTCCAAAACTTAACTTCTTGATTCTTGAACAGGTGGGAATGATCCTTTACGAAACTCTGCGCCTGTATCCACCAGTAGTCGAGATGACCAGGGAGTGTGTGGAGGAGTCTTGGCTGCAAGATTTACACGTTCCAAGAGGAGTATCTGTGTCGTTTCCAATTGTTGGATTGCATCAGGATAAGGAGCTCTGGGGAGAAGATGCAGGCCAATTCAATCCGGATCGCTTCAAAGCTGGGATCTCAAGCGCGTGCAAGCATCCCAATGCTTTCATGCCGTTTTCGTTTGGGCCGCGGGTGTGCGTGGGCCAGTCGTTTGCGATGATCGAAGCCAAAGTCATTCTGGCTATGATACTACAGCGATTCTTGTTCCGGCTTTCACCGAACTACCGCCATAATCCTGCGATGAAGTTTGGCTTGAAGCCTATCCATGGAGTGCCGCTTGTACTCAGTAAAATGTGATGCATGTTCCTGGCATTAGAAGTTCAAAAAAGTTATGTTCGTTGAACTACTCCGAGTTCGTGAACCAAACTGGTTGATAAATCATCTGCTCTTTCATAGTACCTCAGAAACGTTTAGAACCATCGCGATGGAGCCCCAAGACAAGTATCTGCATCTCTTCATCCACCACCGGGTGAACTCACAGGCTTCTTGAACGATCCAGAGCGAGACGCGGTTTGATGTCAAGCATCCTGGAAGGGGCGAGCGGATCAAGCGCGAGAGCAACTTATCTAGAACCCGTTCTCCTAACTCCTAAATCCGCCTCGAGCAGTGAAACCCCGGCCTCGATCGGTCTAGGCGACCCTAATCAACAGACTTTTATGCAAAAATTTTGTTTAACAACTGCCATACTTTCTCTTTATAGAGAGGTCATTCCGTTGAGATATGCAGTGAGAGGGTATAGGGTATAGGCAGGGGATGTCCCAAAAGTCTTCCTAGATAAAGTGCCTGTTATCATTGCCTCTCCAACTCCATCCACAATTGGGCAATTATGGCAATTTTTGAGCAGTGCGGGTTACTTTTAACACTTCATCTTTGGTTATGCAGCAATGACCCAACCCCTCCAACAGCTGCTTCACAAGGATGTAATTTTTGAATGGATAGTGGATGGAAATGTTTCTCTCAATGCTTTGAAGAAGGCTCAACTGGCAACACTAGCTCTCCAACCTCTAGATTTTACCTAAGGATTCTACCTCTTCACTCAACTATTGGATATGACATATTTAATGGCTGTCTATCAAACTAGCAATAAGAATGTGATGCATGGTGTCTATTTCCTAGGTAAAGACTTGTCATATCTCTTGGATCAATAGACAAAGCTTGATCATTATGTAGTAACTATTGTCTCTACTTTCCATCACCTTTGCCACTATTTTATGCTGAAGAGGGCAATGATTCATATTCTAGTGAATCCCCTAATAGGCAAACCTATATTACAAAGCCATCATGCTCTCTAGCTATCCAAATTTGATTTCAAGATCATGGTGGAGAAATCTTGAGTGTTCAATCCCAACAGCCTTCTCTTCTCATTTTTAAATGAGGATAACACTCATAATTTTGATAATGCCTTCAAGACACTCTAGATGATCAGCTCTATTATCACTCCTGATATGCCAATATCATCTAGGCTTTTCTCATCTCTCTATATGTGAGAAATGCAAGTTAGTAACAAAGTATGTCATCTTAGGTGGGATTCTTTTCTGGTGATGGTGATCTTCTCTAATGCATCAATGACAATGAGGTTGTTGAGATCCTTCATGCATGCCATAACTATTTTAGACACTTCTCAGGTATGCTCACAGCAAAACAGGTGATGCAAGCTGGCTACATTACTCAGCTAAAGCTTAAAGGAAATGAAAAGGTAAGCAATTATAATGCACTTTCCAGGAGTATCTTGACAAAAAACCTTCTTGACACCTTAATTTATAAATGCTCACCTAAGCATGATCACAACAAATAAAATCTGTCACAATCTTGAATCAAAGAGCACCTGGACATGATTAGTGTGTCACAGCAAGAGATAAGTGAGCAGCATGAGCCCAACGATTCACAAGGGAGGACACTACAAAAAGAAAGCTACACAAAAAAAGTAAAATTACCAATCATCATGTTGAGTCAACTCACAAGCATTCCTAGCTCAAAGCTAGGACTATGAATCCAAAACAATTCAAATGTTTACAAAGAAATAGAGAATCTGAAAGTTATGAAACATAAGAAAAAAAAAAACAAAAAGAAAATATGAAAGTATTCCACCTAAGCTACTACAAATAGTAGCATTGGAGATGGGTGCTATTGTGAGGATTTGGCAGTCAGTGGTTAGCAAGATCCATGAGTTAGTACAAGTTTGGACTCACAATTCTAGCAATCCAAAACAGTCCCAGTTATGGAGTAGCAAGTTTGGGATGATGTAAAGTCTTAGAGTCAAAGATCTTCACTAAGTCACCCTCTTAGAAGCACTCACCACACATATATGCTTGTTGTAAAGTATGTTGCTGTTGCTACACTAGAGTTGTAACAGGTCAAAACACATTTAAAGCTAAAAGCTGATTATGTTGATGTTCAAGTTGGTCCATAGTGCTTATAGTAAAAGCCATAGTGGATGTTGTAAAGGTTGGCAATTCTAGCTAAATTAGAAGAACTGTTTCCACACATGATGAAGAAGTAACTATTTTATTTTGTATATCTTCCCAAGCAAAGAAAAATAAGGAAGCTTAAGCAAAATAGAGTTACACTTAAGTTTAGAAAAGAAAAAAGACCCAATTTAGGTAATGTTTGTCATAGACAAGCGAGAAGTAGTTAGGAATAGTTATAAAATCATATAATATATAAGTAGCATTTAGATGTGCTGGAAAATAACCACCACTCACTATTGTATGCATTTACATTGAATTAACCATTTTTTATCTAGCTTATTGTCGCAAATGTGACTTCAGGTATTGAAAGATACTTGTCGGCTAGTCCTTACGGGCACTCTTTCCTTACTGCCATGACGGCAGGAGGTCGGTACTGCTAGTTTCCATCAATAGCCCCTCTTGTCCAAGTGTTAATTTACTAGGCTTAGCATCTGTACTTAGCCAGATGAACATAAGGTAGGAACTCCTATGTGTTTCTAGCTGAGCATTCTCGGCCTGACTCTTAGTTCTCTTTCGCTCTGTCTTGCACTGGCTTGGCAAGAACCCTCGCGTATTGAGACTAGTCCCTACCGTGTCTGCCAAATACCCTCGCTATCACGCCCTTTGTGTTAGTCTCATTTTGGTCCCAAGTGCTATTTATGGAAAATGTCTGGATTAGCTCATTTGGCATATCTACGGAATGTAGAGATCGGCCTGAACACAATGGTGTTTTTCCCGTGTCCAAATTCGCAATATAAAGCCATTCCATATTTAGTAAGTTTTGGAATTGTCCCAGAGACTAACTCCTGGTACTAAGGGTGGCTTGGGGTGAAAGCCCAAAACTCAAGAGGGGGGGGGGGGCTGTGGTTGGAATGCATGTCCAACCACCTGAGACATTAGTTTGGCTCCCACTGGGCTGTGTCGCTCCTTGTTCTGCGTCCAGCTTGGGTCTAAGCCCAAGCACCACGCTGCTCTAGTCGGTGGAGTACCCTCCTCCTAACGTTAGGCCACCGGTATGCCAAAATTGTGCCAGACTCTGTCTGACACCATTTTGTGTGCAGGTGCTGGATACGGGGAGCTAGTGCTCATGGGATCGTACCGGACCCTCGTTTCGTAGCGCAACAGGCTTGGAGTTCGGGTCCAAATTCAGGTGTGCTACATTTGGTATCAGAGGAATTGTCTCAGCGATTTCTATCCAACTTTTGTCGGATTTTTTGACTCAAGTTGCATATGCAGAGACCTTTCTAGTGGATCTAAAGCGACCTGTGTAGGATTAGTTGGATTGCACCATTCGGTAAGAACGTTGTATGCATGTTCAGTTATTGATAGAGGCATGCATGCGACTAGCAAGATGGTGAAGAGGAACCGTGCTGATGACGCTGAAACCTCTAGACGGGCGAATCGAGAGGAGGAAACTCCTGCTAGAGATGCTGCGGAAGAGGCAAAGGTTGAGTCAAAAGAGGAAGAGCTAGACGCTGCGGCGCTGCAGCATACGGCTTAGGAAGTCGAGATCGAGAATTTGCGAAGGGAGATTCGCATATTGAAGAAGGAGAACAAGAAGAGGAAGAAAGAAGCTGAGGCAGCTAAACCAGCTAAGCCTAAGCAACCAGACTCCTCCTCAAGTTCTGAGGATGATGAAGTTCTGCAGCCACCCCCGGTTGCACGAGTTTCAAAGTTCAAACCTTCGAAACCACCCAATTTTAGAGGCATGCGGGACTATCAGGTTTTGGAAGACTGGGTCTACGATATGGAGAACTACTTCATAGCAGCAGTCGTAGATGATCGTACGAAAGTTACATGTGCGCAATCCTTTCTCACCGATCATGCCAAAACTTGGTGGCGCCAGGTGTGTGCTGAAAAAGGGCAGACTAGAAGTTGGACCAAGATGCGGTCTCGTATCCGTAAGGAATACTTGCTGGATGATCTTGGTCTAAGACTTCGCGTGGAACTGCGATAGTTAAAGCAGCGAGGGGATCTTATGCATTACGTTAATGCGTTTGCTCAGAAGCGCATTATGATTGCAAATATGAGTGACGAAGATGCTCGGAGTTATTTTCTGGAGGGTTTAACTTCATTTTCTCGCAATGAGATTTTGAAGTTTAAGACAAAGATGTACCTGGAGTGCAAGGAGACAGCACAGCAAGTTGCCTTCAGTCACTTGCTCATGGAACAATATCAGCAACCGCAAGCTGGTAACTCGGATAAGA